GAGTGGAATGGCAGAAAATTTGCATGCAATGCGGGTCTCTCTGATTGTTTTTTTTTCTTCTTCCCTCCCGCTGAAAAGCCTTCTGCCCCTCGTTAACTTGTCATATTGCTTTCCATTATTTGCTCGCCGCTTGTCTATACCCCGTCCGACATAGCGCCTCGTTAGAGGGGGGCGCACTGGGCATGGCCGGGCTGCCGCGGCTGCCGGCCACTATGTCAGCACTAATTAGTCATATCACCGGCCTAGGCGGCCTGGCCGAGGGCCTGCCTGCCTGGCGGCGCGGACACACCGCCAGTGTTACTGTGCAGCGGGGCGGGCGGGGCGGGCGGGGCAGCACGCGTGCAGGGATCGCGGGGCGGGTCGTTGGCCGCGCACGCCCGACGCGCCGGGCCGACGGGCCAGTGGCGGCCAGCGGCCAGTGACGGACAAATCCCACTTCAAAGAGGATCCCCGTGCAAGATGGCCGGCCGGCCCCGCCCCGCCCCGCCCCGCCCCGCCCCGCCCCGCCCCCCGCCGTCACACCGACAGGAGACGCGAGGACCACCGGACTCCGCCACGCCCCGCCACGTCAGGGGAAACGACTGTTTCAGTACTCGCGTGATTTATTTTGTCCGCATTTTATTTCTGAATTAAGACTTTATTTTCAGAATTTCGTTTCGACGTGCTTCACCTTCTTGCTCAAAATTCCTTTTCTCATACGTTCATTGTACTTCCGATTTTGGAGTTGGTCCTCGCCCCGCCACGCCCCGCCCCGCCACGCCCCGCCACGCCACGCCTCGCCCCGCGCGTGTCGTACCGTGCCCCTTTTCTTTGGCGTGACGGGTGGCGCATGCCGTTTCAGCCCACGCCGCGCCACGCCACGTCTTGCCGCACCCGGGGAGGGCCCAGTGAGTCAACCTCTGATGATGAGGTCGCCCCAAACTCCGCACCGCACCGCACCGCTCTGCACAGGACGGCCGAACGCCTTTCTTCCTCCGTCATCGTCGGGCCGCAGGGACGTCGTCGGGCGGCCAAGGCCCACGCCACGTCGTCCCGCCACGCCCCGCCCGCCACGCCCCGCCCCGCCCCGCCACGCCCTGCCGCAATTAGCGTCATCTGTCAGGAAGAAAGCCTTATCTCTGGCCGCGGTATTCGAACCCGTGCCATTCCGGGCGGGAGCCCTGTCCGCCGATTAGGCGAGATAGGCGTGATCCCGCGCCGCCTGCCGGACTGCCGGTCACCGCAGCCTTTCGTAATTACCCTTTCCCCGGACGAAAGCCAGTACAGCTCAGAATGTCGCGGTGTGCCTTTCTCATTGCGCCTGCTGAGCTGTTCGTTTGGCTGCCGAGCATTGTGACAGAGGTCTGCGCGCCGCGGTCCATTCCGAAAACGAGCGGCGGCGGCGGGAGTCGAACCGCCGGCCCATCCGTTGGGCTTACAGCTTGGCTTACAGCTTGGCGTACAGGCCGCGGCTTGAAAGGGACTTAACGAACGGCAACGGCATTCGCATTAAGAGCTGCCCCGCGGTCACCAACACGGGCCGCGTCCGCAGCGCCGCGCCCATTTTTTCGACCGTTTTTGCCGCGTCCGCACCTGCACTGCGAGTGCACCGCGAGTGCACCGCGCTGGCGGATGCACGGCGGGGCCGGGGACGCCACGGTGGGCGACGCGGACGCAGCCCGGCAGCGCGGCGCAGCGACTTCCAAGGCGATCTCCCTCATCATTAAGGAAACGCGCGTCTCTTAAAAAAGCCATTCGTAGGTTAGGATCAGCAGGCCGGCATTAAAACACGCACACACACACACGCACGCACGCACGCACGCACGCCGAACGCCAGGAATTCAGACATGACGGCTCGACGCCCGGCTTCGTCACATAGCAAGTTACCCAGCGGGCCGCCCTGGCCCGGCCCTGGCCCGGCCACGTGCAGTCGGATTGCATGCAAATCGAACCGAGATACCACATCGGAACAATCATGGCGGCAGATACAAAAAAAATGTAAAAACAAGAAGAAAAGCGCGCGGCAGTCGTTAGTGCAGCATTTACATCCGTGCGTCCCGTCCCGTCTCGTCCCGCCCGCCCGTTCGTCCAGGGGACGCGCCCATCCAGCCCAGGCTAGCACACCGCACTCGGTAAATAGACTTTTACGAGTGCCAACGCGACGGGGGCCCTTCGCCATGCCCTCTCCCGGCAGGCCGGCAGGCCGGCAGGGCCCGGAGACACAATTAAGTCAGCATTTCTTTCGCAGGAGGGAGCAGCGAGCCGAGTCGTTAAAACTGCCGAACAGCCATGCACGCGAATAGACCAACGCGCACACAAACGGGCTGGCGCCATGGCGCGCCGCGCCCCGCACGGCCAAAACACCTGTTGACAGAGTTAAAAAAAAAGTCTCCCGAGGCCTCGAGCGCCTGCGAACATTGGGGTAGGCCGTCCCGCAACACCGCCGTGCGCCGCGGCGGCCTACCTTGGCGCCCGCAGGCGCGCTGGGTAGGCCGTCCCGCAACACCGCCGTGCGCCGCGGCTGCCTACCTTGGCGCCCGCAGGCGCCGTCGTCCTACGCCCACAAAACCCCGCTGCAATTTATATACACGCCTTTTAAAGCAAATCTCCATGGTTAATGCGCGCGCGATGCGATCTAGTGCATTTTGTTTGCTTTCCATTAATCATTCGGGGAGGGCCGGGCAGCGCGGGGCGGCGTGTGGATGGATGGACAGACATTGAATGAACGGCGAGGGAGGGAGGGGGGGGAGACACACTCGGCATCCGATTAATGAAACGCACACAAGGCTGAGCAAAGCGGCGAAATTAGCCTCGACCGCGTTGCCGCGTTGCGTTCTTGATGCCCGTCATCCCACCCCGACGGCCCGACGGCCGGGCACCGCCGATGCACTCGTGGGTGGCACAAAAACGAGCCGTCCTCGAGCGAGCGAACGCACGCGATAGCCGGACACGCTTCTCATCAAAAACGGTGATAGCATTATTCTCAAATGTCTGACAGAGCAATTAGAGGTTGTGTGATTTGTGGTGCGGGGCCGGCGGGGCCCGGAGGCCGGTGTGATAGCGAGCCACCTTCTCCAACAATTACCGCGACCGTAGCTCAGCGCGTCTCCGCGTCCCGGAGTCGCGGTTCCGGCTGGCGCCGCCGCCGTGCCGCCCTGCCCGGACATTCCCCAAAGCGGCGCATTGCAGCATCTGATAAAAATTGACAGATGCTCTCGGCTGCGACTCGGCCGGGCGGTGCACAGAGCACACAGCACGGCCATTCTGCACCGGTAAATACCCCGCGCCGCGCCGCCATGGCCGCACTGCGCCGTTCGTGATGGATGCGCTCCGCCGTGCTCCGCCATGCTCGGCGGCCAGGCCGGCCAGCGAGGGGTATCGCCGCCCCATCAGCCCACCCCGTGCGTCTGAATGCCGCCGTGCGCCGAGTCGCGGCCACAGACCGGCGGCCACAGAGAAGGCCGCGCAGGCCCTATTTCATGTTGCGTGATCTTTGGACGCCCTCAACAGCGCCGCAGCGCCGCCGTGGTGCACTAGATTTACTTGTCGGTGGCGGCGGGCCGCGGCGGGGAGGGGCGGGGACGCGCTCGGAGGGGCCGCCGCCGCATCGCCGCATGGCGTCTATTGAAATGTTGGGGCAGCTCCAGAGCACCGCTGCACCGCGTCGTGCACCGTCTAATTTGAGCAAATCGAAGTGAAGCAGGCCATGCCATCGGGCCATGCCATCGGGCCACGCCATCGGGCCATGCAGGCCGTAAAGAAGGCAAGGCCGTGACGCGCGGCCGGCAAACAAACGCCCCGCCGTCCGCGCCATGCCCTAGGCCATGCCCTGGGCCCTGCCCTCGGCCACGCCAGAGCAGCGCGGCCAATGCGACGCCGAGGCACCTGCCGTTTCCTCGTAGGCCCTGCCGCCCTGCCGCCCTGCCCTGTTCCCGGTTCATAACCGCGCCGAGTGGCGAACGCCTATTTCCACGGAGACTTCGCGCACTGGAGCAGACTTCAGCCACTTGAGGCCGCCGCCGCCGCCTCGCGGATGCTCGCTGTTGGGTCGATGGGTTGCCTGCCGGCCGGGCGCGGCGCGGCGCGGCGCGGGGAGCACAGACACCGACAGCCTGCGCACGGCTATAGCCACCGCGCCACGCGATCAAGCGTTCCGAGAAAACTACAAACCACTCTTTCGCTACGCCGACGGACGAGCGCGCGTGCGATGTTCTCTGTGTGTCTGTGAGTGAGTGAGTGCGTGTGTGTGAGAGAGATTCTTGAACAGCGCTCTAGTGCGGCGTGACGCTGTAGCGGCGAGCCGGAAACGCAAGCGCAGGCGGAAGCGGGCCGCCAAAGGCAGGCCGACCGACCGACCGGCCAACCGGCCGGCGAGCGCACACACGGCCAGGCACACGGCCACGGCACGGCCCAAACAAGGTCCTTGCTCCCCGCGCCGCCCCGCGCCGCTCCGCGCCGCCCAGCCCCGCCATGCACCGCGCTCGCACCGTGTGTCTGCGCCGAGTGTCTGCGCCGAGTGTCTGCGCCGAGTGTCTGCGCCGAGTGTCTGCGCCGTGCGGCGGCTCCGCGGCAGACGTGCCTAGGATAACCACCGTGCAATGAGAAGGCAACACATTAAACCAAATTACAGGCTGTCCCGCCCTGCCGCGGCACAAGGCACAAGCATCAGCAGGACAGGACAGGGCTGGCTGCTGGCGCTGCTGCACTGTAGAACTGGGGAGGCGTCGCGGCGCGTCGCGGCGAGCCTCTGTTCCCACACCTGAGGCCCGCCGGCCCAGACCGCCCACTTACCGGGGGCGGTGTTTGAACCAGCAGACTCATTCCACGCAGCGTTTCGTCGCTCTGTCTCTCTTGCACCTGCACGGTAAGCCCCATGCTTGCGATAGAGAGAGACGAACGCTCTGCTGGGCCAGGACCACAGGCCGCAGGACCGCAGCCCCTCGGGCCGACGCGCCGGACAAGTTGCCTACCGCAAGGCGCAAGGCGCGCAGCGCGCATACACTGTGTGCACACTCACTCACCCTGAGTCGATGGTCGGCGACGGTCCACACGCGCGTGGCGAAGTCGTTGGACGCCCCGAGGATGAGCGTCCCCGTCGAGTCGAAGTCGATGGACATGACGGCCGCGTTGCTCCCGACGAGAACCCCTCTGCTCTCGTGCTGGCCCCCTGGAAGCAGGAAGAGCTTAAGATGAGTCCGAAGAGAAGGAGGGAAAGCAAAACACATTTACAAATGGACGGAAAATGTTAAGGTTACCTTTGGATATGTCCCACAGTTTAACTTTGCGGTCTGCTCCGCCAGTAGCAACCAGGCGTTCCAGTGTGCTCCACTTTACTGCGTTAATTTCTTGGTCGTGGGCCTCCTGTCAATTTGCAAGAAATATTTTATTTATTTGGCATCCAACAAGAGCCATCAGACGTATTTGAGAACTATAAGTCAACTTACAAACTTGCTGATGGCTTTTGATGGAACATTGGAGGCAAAGAATGGGTTAACACCCAAGTCAGACCGCTCTCCAAATGTACTTTCTGGGGACACTGCTCGAGACTCCTTTGCAGCATCCTCTAACTCTCTTTGAACTTTAGCTTGTTTTTTCCTGATGAAGGAAAACTCACAGTGAATAAAAGTGGAAGGAGAGTTATGGCTATCAACTGATAAATGAATGAAACATTAGTTAATTGATTACTATTTAAGGAAGTCTCTGTCTTTTTTTATCTATTTGAGAGACACAATATTTCAAGTAATGAATTGGGGCAGAACAGGTGCGGTAGTTCACAACACGGAAAGTGGTAATTTAAATGACTTTTAGGCTGGCAGGATTAGTAATAATTATTCACCATACATTTCCTTCAGAGTCTACCTGTTTCCACCAACAAAAGCCACACATGAAATTAAGCCGAGCACAATTATCAAGGAGTCAAAATGGTAAGATTCCATCAACCATGAGAATCAAAAAATGAGTAGTAGATCATGAGCATAGGGTCACGAGAGCTTGATGCAGTTCACGCAACCTATGTGGAAAAGGTATGTTGATAATATTGGAAGGGCTGACCATGATCAACAACCCAGAACCTGAAAGACAGGAACGAATTTCTGAGCATGTAATTTCATTTCAAATCTTTCTTCCTAGCCATTAAATAAAAGTTAGACTAACATAAAGAACCCGCCAATTGCTCTTCATACCCAAATCATGCTCAATCAAATCAAATCAAATCAAAACAGAAACAAAAAACGTTCTTCCAAGCTCAGAAGCCTTTCCATACGTTTCATGTAAATGTCATAAAATCCCTCGTTTCACAAAAAAAAAGGGGGGGGGCAACAACTTCAAAACAATGCCAATGAAATACAATGGCCTACTTGGGATACTTGGAGATTTATAGTAAAGCACTAAAGGGAAACAAAAATGGGGTTTCAAACCATGGGGAGGAGATGAAGTCATGCTCATGGACAACAAAAAAAGCTCAGTAAAATGCAAATGCACCAATTTCCAGATATCCAGAAGTATCACATAATCGCAGTTGCTAAGACCAGCAGTGAGTGGAACCATAAACCATGCTCCCTCCTTGCCAGAAGACAAGGAAACAGAAGGCATTGCTTGTAAGAAATGGGCCATTACCACATGATCTTACAAAGAATATGTTTCATAAAGAGATAAGCCAAAGTGAAACTTATTTTAGGCAGTTTGTTTCATTACTCACCTAAAGAGACCATCAATGGTTTGTAAGAGAGAGGAGGTTGGATTATGGCTCCCACCACTGCAAAAAGAGCGTTTGGCACTGTGTGCAGAATTCATATGCCTGTGACGTTAATGGGAGTTGCTCCATTAAAAAAATATTAATAATTGGAAATATCAGTGTTTAGGCTGGTGCTGGTATAGGAGAGTAGAAGAAAATAGTTTCCAAGCATTCCCAGTTTAGTGCTTTGTGTCAGTGGCCAGAAGTGCTAATTTGGCACTTCTACAAACAACAAGAACTATACTGAAGCAACAATGGCAATGTTCCCTGTTCAAAAGTTGGACCTACACAAAGTACTACATTACCCAAAATGATTGATTGTTACAGTTATTAGAATGTGTAGCCTCTATCAGATATTTGGTCAAAACAACATTCACACATCCAATACATTCTACACAGCACGCAAGCAATGCACAAAAATCCCAATCTACAAAGAGAGCAAGTGCAGGTGCAAAAAGTCAAAGACAACAAAATAACAAAACAACTATCAAAATTTGACGAAAAAAACATTCTGAAACTACGAAAACCTCATACCACAAGGAATTGAAACAAAAATAATTCAAGTAAAATGTCCCAAATATAAACAGGAGAGCAGCTTGAAATCCTTATGTTTGGCTAAATACTCTTAAGAATAGACCAGACAAAAACATTATTATTTCAAAATATGAGAAAAACATAAATAATAGAAAACACACATGCCCCATGCAAAATTTTCTGCACCATACCTCAGAAAATTTTCATTATCTTCATTCATTCGATCAGCATCTCTAGATTTGTACAGAACAAGGCGCTCAACTAGTTGTCTATTCTCATCCTGGATAAACATTGGAATAGTGAATCAGAAACCTTATATGTGACGGTTGAAAGAGAAATACTTCTAGAGACAGTACCTGAGTCTTGCGCAACTTCTCCTCAAGAGCAGTGAGTGCTAGTTGGTTTGCATTATATTCATCACGGATGATTTGATTCAGGCTTTCCAGCTCTTTCAAGCTAGACTTGTACATTTGCACTTCTGCTTTCAAAGAACTGTTATCGGAAATATATTCTCCAAGGCTGAAAAAGACGTCACCAAATGAATAAACATAAAAACACAAGGCAATAAATAAATAATTTCTTATGTTACAATGTATAAAATGTAAAACATGACACAGTAAAGTCAAATACCTTGCTTCTTTTGACTGCAAAAGCCTTTCTTTCTCCTGGAGTTTTTGGTTCAGATCAACCAGCTGCTGGGCATTCTCTCCCTTCCTCCGATGCATTTCAGTCAGTTCTTCTTGAAGACTAAAAATTTTCTGTTCCAAGATCTGCACCTTTTCATTTCTATGTGAAGGGCTTTTGCTTGAACTATTAGCCCCTCCATCCCCAGAAGCTTTTTCAACAGAAATGTTTTGTTCGGATTTCAGTTTCTCGTTCTGAATAGAGAGCTGCAGGTTTTCTGCTCGAAGTGCATTGGAGCTCTCAAAGAGACGATTATCTGAAATACATAGATGGGATTGTTAAATGGATTTTATAGAGAGAAGAATATTTCTCAGCTTCCTTAAATTTGACAGGTTTTAGAGAAAGATAAGCAAAATAAAACACCATATGTCGCGAATGACAGGCGACAAATTGCATAGGGCAAGCTTTGAGAGCTTCAGAAGCCAACAAGATACGTAATAATCACGTCCAAACACATTAATTTGACATTAAAAAGATAGCACTATGGCATACTCCTGTCGATGTTAAGTTGACATGGGCACATTGTTTACCATTTTCTTCCTTTATATAAACACTTTTCATAACTTTTGGGAGGCTTACTCATGCAATGGCAGCACCAAATCTTTATCATGGACAAGCCAAAACAAGAAAAACTGCATGACGGTCTAATGATAGCTAGAAAGTTCATTGTTTTTATGTTACTTTCCCGTGAAACTGACAGAAATATATAGGTTAGGTGACCTTGCCATGTTTAGGTTGAGTGGTGGAGGAAGTACCGCTCAAAGAAATACTCACGAAAAGAAATAAGATCCTTGAACGCGTGGCTCTCCGCTCTATTTCTGTTTTGCAATCGAAGGACCAAAGTACTTCGCCAAAATTGGCCATCAACAGGCGTCATAGGCGCAGCCATGCTTGTTTTGATCGACTGGCGACCGCGACGGGCGACAGTTTGCCACTCGCCGCGAGGCTAGCGCAGTCCTTGAATGAGAAATTCAGTCGCAGTCTAGCCACCCAACGAGTAAAAAACCTAAACGTGATACCTGCTAATATAGTTTTTTACGGTTAACAAAAGGAAGTTTTTAATGTAAATAGAGCGGAAGGATAGTATTTTGTACTGCTCCGTTACTTTCAACCCTTGGCAAAAGGAGCGGGGCAAAAATCATTCACTCGGAAATTTTGCGTGGACTTCGTACCTTTCACCTGTCAAACGTCAGTTTGTTTACACCCGAGCTTTCTGCGAATGCAACAGCTGATCATCTCACTCTCACTCCGAAGTCCAAAATCCGTTGTCTGTAACTTCGCATCGGTCCCTGCGTGCGTGCGGCTTTATATAGTGTTTTTGCTCACAGTGCCATTGCTGCTTGGAGCGACCATGCACGCGATCCGATTCATTAACAGGGTAAAACCCAACGCCGCCGAGGCTGCCAAGCTGAGGTTGGTCGCGTCTGCACCAAGGTGAGCACTTGTTTGTTTTGCCGAACGTTGTCTTGGTTCCGCTGCCCTTTTCCGTGTTTTCCGCCGTTCGAGCACATGGTTCTCGCTACGCATGTGTGGGTGCGGGCACATCATGAGCTGAACGCCAATGAATGAAACTACTCATGCTTGGCTTGGTCTTGCAGATGCATCTCCACGACATCCCCCTGTGGGTCCAGCAAGAGGGAGAAGACGAACAAACCTGCGCCCAAGTCACAGTCCTTCGTGATGAACATGTTCCGTGGTCATGTCCAGGGCAGCGAGGTCTTCCCGTACCCCAAGGTGCTCAACGAGGAGCAGAACAACACCTTGCAAATGCTTGTTGACCCCACCTCTAAATTCTTCGAGGTTTGTTTGATTGGATGATAATTTTTATCTAAGTTATGGTCCTGGGTGTTAATTTTCAAATGTTTTTGTTCCAGGAAGTTAATGACCCATTTAAGA